GCGCGGGCGCTACAACGTGCGACGGCGGGCGCGCGCGGATGCTCGCCGTGCATGCAGCATTTGCTGCGACCGCGGTGCTGCTGGCTGAGAATAGCAACGTGCATGGCACCTCAGCAGTCAAGAGTCATCCCGATCCTCCTCATCAGCACGCTCTGCCTGCAGGCGAAGTTTGGATGCATCAAGTCACGTGCAAAAGTTTTCTCGTGCGATATACGAGCCGCGTGCTTGGAATCTGCGCTGGCGCGGGCTGTGGTTTGGCGGTGCACGCACGACTCGTGACTTGCATGCACATGCATAGCGTGATTTCGGTAGACGCAGCCATGGAGGAACGAATGAGCTCAATGACGTGCAGCGAGCAGTGCTGCCCACATTCACCTTCACATTCACATTCACATTCACATTCACATTCGTGATTCACATTCACATTCACGATTCATAGCAAGCAGCCATCAAGTCGAGAACTTGCCCGCAGATGCCCACGCGCCCCTTTCCCTCTTCCCACCACAAGCCGCGTGAGGCCAAAGGGCGGCAACAACAGCGCATACAGTTCGGTGTCTCGAGCACATTCCAGACTCGACAAAGGTCACACCGCAAGCCAGTTCGCCATGTCGTGCTGTGCCGGTCATGCCGCAGCTCAGTCGACCACTTCCTGGCTGCTCGACTTTTTCACCTCTTCGCCTTTGCTCGCTACAATCGTCCTTGGACCCGTCATAGCTGCCATCTTGGCTGCTTATCCGCTGCTCATCTGGCTCAGCCCGCGTCCGCTTGAACCCACTCCCGATGAGCTGCGTTTCTATACTGCTGCAGACCTTCTGGGTCCGGCAGCCACGATCGAGGAGGAGGAGAAGAAGAAGAAGGAGGGATCGAACGGCGCATCGAATGGCACTCGCAAGCTACCAAGCATCGAAGATGCACCACAATGCCAGCTCAGCGTCATCATCCCAGCGTACAACGAAAAGCACAGATTACCTTCCATGCTCGAGGAAACGCTTGCCTTTCTCAACCGGGACCAGGCTCTCTCGAGGCTGGATCACGCTCCCGGCAAGAACATAAGCACCGCGTGCGATGCGCTGCGAGAACCTCTTGCACGGGTAGAGATCATCGTCGTGGATGATGGCAGCTCGGATGGCACAGGCGATGTAGTGCTCGAGCATGCGCGCAACCAACAGTCACGGTGGGGCAAGGTCGAGCTGCGGCTGATCAGGCTGAGCAGGAATCGTGGTAAAGGCGGAGCCGTTCGGCACGTGAGTGCATCAGAGCGACGTCGCATGCATGTCCTCGTTTCCCTTTCTCACAGAGACTTGCTTCACTCCACCTGCTCTAGGGCATGCTACACGCGAGGGGAGCTTTGCTCCTCTTTGTGGACGCTGATGGAGCCACCAAATTCGAAGCGCTGTCGGCACTCGCGACAGAGCTGGACAGGATACGTACGCCTGCCGGTCATGGTATCGTGGCAGGGTCCAGAGCACACCTGGTGGGCAGCGATCAAGTCGTCAAGGTGAGTTGCACGGTAACGTCTCGAGCTTTGCGACGTAGCTCATTCGGCGCTCTCTCTTCGCTCTCTTCGCTCCACTCAGCGATCCTTTGTTCGCAATCTTCTCATGCATACCTTCCACTTGGTGCTAAGCCTGCTAATGCGGCCGCCTGCTATCGGAAAGGTGCTCCAGCGTCACTTGCCGTCCTTTCTCGTTTCGCAAAACACACTCAAACGAACGACGTTACCTTCCCAGCCCGAGATTCGCGACACGCAGTGCGGCTTCAAGCTGTTCATGCGGGAATCAGCCAGGGTGGTCTTCCAAGGCTCTCACATCGAGAGATGGATCTTTGATGTCGAGCTGCTACTTCGAGCCGAGTTGAGCAGCCAGACGGCCCATGTGCGTCTTGCTAATTGCGGCAGCAGTATGCGAGAAGTACGGAAGGAAGCCGGGTTTCCTCTGCCTCATTCTGGAAAAGGCAAGGCCGACACGGTGGCAGATGTGTTGCTCGATCTGCCATTGCCGATTGCCGAGGTGCCCGTACAATGGACAGAAGTTTCTGGATCGAAAATCGACCTGCTCAAAGATTCCCTCGGCATGGCTTTGGATTTGGTCATCATTCGCGCTAATTACGCTCTCGACCGTTGGCCCAGTCCGAAGCCTGCCAAGGTCTGAGATCGCAGGTATCCTACAGCAATCACTGCACTGTCCTTTGCCAGACATATCGCGGCCTTTCGTCCATCCATCGTGTCCAGCCTATTCCGTCGTCCATTTCAACCTAGAGACATCTAAAAAGCTACGCCATCGCCATCGTCATTGCCATCGTCACCGTAGTCTGCGCAACACTAATTTCATGCATGTCGCCAAAGCAGGGGCCCAGGGCAGATCTTCTCAATCGCGCGTGCGCGCTCTTGCTGACGGTTTCTCTGCCCATCTTTGAGTGGCTAATTGCAGCTCGCTGCGCAAGTGCTTGCGGAGATCGGTACGCGCAGAGTATCCTCGATGGCGTTGCTCCGCAGCCAAGGGCGTAGTGGCGCGGCGCGCGGCGTCGGCAAGGGCGGAGCCGCGGCGACGCAATCGAGGGGGCTTGGTTTGATTCAGCTTTGAACATTCGTTCCTTGTCACTCCTCATCTTTGCTTTCCTCGACGGTACAGGCATGCCGACTAGCCTCGGCATCCTGATCATGTTTCGCCACTCTGCGGGGGGGCATCTGCTGCTCGTTAGGCGGATCAAAACAAGTGGCGGAAAGATGTCTTCTATAAAGACCGACGAAACGACTTCTTCGAGCCCAACATTTGGCCTTCGATTCACCCCCTTCGATCTATCGTTGCGCAGCTGGACTGTTGCCTGAGCTTTGAAACGTAGCAGCTGGTCTGCGCCTTCCAACAATTTTATCCTTTGTACCAGCAGCGACGCCGACATGCGTGCCGCCATCGCCATCGTGCTCGCCTGCCTGGCCACCTTGTCAGCTGCAACAAGTCACCCAGCCAACGATTCTCAGTCGATGCTGAATAGGCGCGGGTATGGTAAGTAGTTGTGCATCTCACCCTGCTCGTCATGCAAGCTCACAAATCTCTCGCGGCGACGTGTCACACGCAGGCGAAACGTCGTCGGCTGCCTACAATGCTGTTGTGAGTCAACTTGGCAGAGAGAGAGAGAGTCGAGCCGGTTTCTTAAAGCTTTGCCTCTGGTCCTACGCACGCTGACCGAGCTTGTCGAAACCCCCGCACAAGGCGCATGCAATGGGCAATCATCATCTGGAAGCACATGCAGTCCATGACGTGCACGGCAATCCCTACTTCATTCAAGCGCAATCAAAAGAGCATGGAGCATTTCGCTTCGCACGATGGACGCCACATGAGGGTGTTACGGTTCACATTCCTCCGCTCCGTCAGCAATATCTTGGGTATGGGCTTATTGTGAGTTGTTCTTATCGCGTCGCCTGCACATCTTGTTGAAGTCGCCTCTCCACCCATTGGCCCGCTGCCATCTTTCCAGGCGGATGCGCAGAGGGCTCATCCGGATTCTCACCACACTTTCGTCAACAAGATGCCGCACGAAAATTTGGAGCACAAGGTGTTGCACCAGCACAGGGTCAACTTGGAGTCGGCGGCTTTGATGGCCAACATGAATGCACACACTCACCAGCTTGGCACGGCTGCTCATAGGCCGATCAATGTTGTCGAATCTCACCCAGCAAGTCCCGCCGAGCCTCGACCCGACGCATTGGTCGGAACATCCAGAGCAGGCGCCTCCTCCTCCAATCCTGTACACTTGGACTCTCCAAAGCCTGCCTCTACTTCGAAAATACCACCGTGGATGGTGAATGCTCTCAGAAATCCAGGTGGAAAGGCGGAAGGAGCTAGCAGCTCTGGCACGTCCAAGCTGCCACCTTGGTTGCAAAAGGCAAAGGAAGAGCTGGCAGCCAAAGAGGCGGCTGAAAAGGCAGCAGCAGCAGCAGCAGCAAAAGAAGCAGAGAAAAAGGCAGCTGCCACGACCTCCTCTTCAGCCAGCTCGACCGAAAAGAAGCGCTCTCGCACAAACTCGTCCGAGGATGCACCTGCCGCACAGCGCACGCGCACTTCTTCTCCGCCCACGACTCAGGAACGCCGCGAATTGTCAGCGCATCCGGAGCTGTTGAAGCGAGTGAGTTTGTAGGGATCAGAGACGTTGCGTACTCCGATGCATCTCCGACTAATTCTTGGACGCGACGCAACCCAGACCGTCGAGCCTGTCGAACAGGAAGCATACGCCGGCTCTTTTCTAGAAGCGCGCAGCAAATGGAACATTGTTCGAAATTGGTTCAAGACTGATTTCAAAGAGCAACCCATCACGGGTAAGGCACCTCTGGGTGGTGCGGTACGTCTCAAAGTGAGTTGCGCCAGCAGCAACGTATGCACCACCGATTCACGGTCCCACGCAGGTCTAGCATGGCTCGATGCTGAGCCGCTCATCGCACCTTTTATCCAATCTAGGAAAATCAAAGGTGGGCCGTGCTGGTGCAGCACCCCAACTTGCAGGTAAAGCACGAATGGGTGGGAGGCAAGTACAGAAGATTCAATGGCATTCCGTATCAGGGAACGGGGATCATGACGGGCCATACAATCAGGCAAGAAGTGAGTCTAGATATGAGGGGGGTATATGTGCCAATACGTTTTCATCGCCTGCTTGCTGAGGCGTAATTCGCCTCGATCCTCGACGCCAGTCAGCCAAAGCCCTCGCCGAAGGCAAAAAGGTTACAAAGTTTCCCTACGACGTGCAAAATCGTTTTCCCCCTCTGCACCAAATGGCCTTTCAAGAGAAGATGATATTGCGCATCGCACAAGCAAAGGCGACGGGCGGTAAAGTGAGCACAAAGCTGGACAGACCCAAGCCTGCAGGCGGCGCTCCTGAAAGTGCTCTGCCTGCTGAACCTTCGGGCTCTGGCAAGTAGGCCCGGGGGCCCACGCCTCATGAGCAATTCGTATCGAGCGACACGAGAGAAGGATGCTTCTGCTCTGGCCAAGTAGAGCAAACATGATGAATTCTTGCAAAGAATCAAAGACAAAAAGGAAAAAGAAAAAGAGGCGCACCTCGCTTCTTGCCAAGGACAAGCCCATCGCGAAGCTCTCCTCTCTTCAAAGTGGGCCTCGTGGGCGAGCAAAGAAAAGAAGAGCGAGCTGCAAGTTCATCTCCTGTGTGACTTACCCGTTCGGACGCAGGCTCTTTTCAGGAAGCCCCCCGCGCATCCCATGCAAAAGCAGATAAATCAATATTACAGTCCAAGTGTGCTCGCTGTCGAATGATTCGCGCTCACTTCCACCAAGACGTCAGTCAAAAGCTCGCATCGACTTGTGAGCTTGCACGTTTGATCGATAGTATGTACATGAGCAGCATGCAAAATCACGAGCGCGACGGGTGCCCGCGCGTCGAATGCTCGGCCAAGCTCAAGCAGCCGTCAAGCCGCAAATCGACAGCTCTCGCATCTCCTGCAACACGCCCTCAACCTGTGCACGCCGAAAAACGTCGCACCGATGCATGTCTCAGCATTGTGAGCTGGCAAGGGTACGCGCGCGCACAATCGAGACTCACCTGGGCATCCAACTGTCCCTCTGCATACTCTTCCCGCACACCTTCAGCAAAGTAGCGCTGAACACCTCCCAGCTTCTCGTAACCCTCTTCTGCGAATTTGGCTTGCATCCTCACCATCGCCTCGAAAGAGGGGTCCAGGTAAGGGATGCGCAGCTCCAGGAGCTGAGGAAGCTCCGTCATCAATTGGTCGTTGAGCGATTCGAACAGAATCTTTGCCTCTTCCAGCTCCTTTTCCGCTCTGGTTTGCGAGATGCAGGAGCGAGCGGTGAGCACTGCGAAGGCCCCAAAAATCGACAAGCATGCACGCCGGCCTACTCACCTCGGCAGCCTGGTGGGATCGTCGGAAGGCTTCTCTAGCAGCTTACGGTGCCTGGTACGAGCAGAGTCGTAGTCCAGGAGCTGGGGGCAGACGACCGCGGCGAGTAGCGAGATGAGCATAGCGCGGCTTCAAAAGTACACACAGCATGCGCAATCGTGCATTGACAAAGCAAAACGGCATCACATGCCCACCACCCATCTCCTCCTCCCCCGCTGCCAACTCACCTTTTTGTTCCTCTTTTCAATCGTCCTGTTGATTTCTGGGAAAAAGCTAGCCAGCTTGCCTACCGGTTCCAGCACCGTAGCTCTGTAAGGCGCATCCAGCTCCCTCGCAGTCTTTGCGTCCAGCTCGTCCGTAGACCTCTTGTAGGCGTTGGCTGCCATTGCTGCGTCGCTGTGATCGATGAAAAACTCGTCCACTGTTTCGGCTACGCGTGATTGCGAAGCTGCTAGCACTGCGAGAGAGAGAGAAAGAGAGGGAGGGAGAGAGAGAGAGAGATACGCAATGGTGCGAGCGAAGATCCAAGTTCGCATTCAGCCTGCCGCCTTCTCTACCAAGCTTTGCGCGCCCTGCCACTCCGAAAACTCACACCTGATAGCATCCAAATAACCTTTTGCTTCCTTTTGCAAAGCCAGCACCTCCTTTTCCAAAGCTCTGTACCTCGCTTCCTCATCCGCAAACTCCGAATCTACCGTACGATCCACCTGACCCGTCTTTTGCATCACCGTCGTCCCTGCGCGGCTAAGAGATTTCTTGAATCCATTCCAGGACATTGTGATGGATTGCGCCCGGGCGGGGGTGTCAATACGAGTGCTTGCTGATTGGGGGACCAAGGCGTGCGAGACAGAGCAGAGGTCGACTTTTGGCGGTCGCGAGGATTGTTGAGAAGAAGAGCAGAAGAAGTAGACGCCTTTGGATCTGCGCGATGGGTGATGGTGGGTAGATATTTCGACAGAGGTACGTTTGGGGCGGTGCGTAGACGCACGCGCATCACCGCGAGTGCGCCGACTGACCGATGCGTGGCGTGCGTGCGTGCGTGCGTGCGTGCGTGTAACAGTGTGGAGCGATCGAGGAAGCTTGGTGCGGGCGCAGGGACGCGAGCGTGGCGGACGCTGCTGCTGTGTTACAGTACCCGTGACTGTGACTGCTGTGCTGATCGTGCGCTTGCTGCACACTCTTGACTGCACCAGTCGTGACTGCTGGCCGGCTTGCGCGCGCATCATGTGGGCACGCAAGCTCTCGGCCGAGAATCTCCGCGTGCGCGTGTGAGCGTGGCTGTGCGTAATTCACGATTCTTGATTCATATGCGCGGGCGCGGGGGAGGTGCCATTTGTGACTGTATATCTTGGCGCGCCGTGAGTGATGGTGAAGTCAGGATGGGCAAAGTCGTGAATCGTGTATCGTGAATACATGCCGCCAGTCACGAGTGTGGATCAGCTCAGACAGGGACACCATGCGGTCGATCGCGCTCGCTCACACCTGTGGTCACGGTCTTTGAAGATGGATGGATGGATGGACGGATGGATCGCTGGGACTACCGCCGCGTGGAGTGGATGCCGCGGTATATCGCAAGTCACGAGTGTGTGGGCAAGGTGTCCGTATCGGCCAGACAAGAGACATGCGCAAATAAAGTCGAGGGGTGTGATGGGAGCCATCTGGCATGGCAGACCAGCGGGCTACCGGCAATCAAGACAGCAGCCATCGAGCGGCTTCATGGCGATTCTCCAACGCGCGCGGCTCACATCTGGTTCATGAGCCGCAAGCCAAAGCCAAATTTAAATTTGGGCTCGCACGCTCGTCGCAGAGCGTAGAAGCACTGCTCAAGCGCACCCGCACGGTCCGATCAGCCTGGTGAATTGCGTATGCGGATCCTTAGCCAGATCCATCGTTGCGCGATCACTACTACTACAAAGCAGTCAGAGTGCCCCTCCCTGCCAGTCATTTCCGTGATGCACGATTGCATCAGGTCATGATTCGCGCACGTCTTGCAGCGCGTGTATGCTTCACAATACACCACCACATGGCCAACATCCGCCCAGAGCAGCCAGCCACGCGGGTGGTATGCTGCGGTGCGAAGCGGCCCCGATGCACGCCTCGTGCCCGACACGCATTTCGTCTTTACTCGAGGTAGTGCTCGTATAGCTCCTCGTCCCGAGGCAACTAGTTACATGCCCGCCGCGCTACTCATTCAGCTCCCTCGACATCCACAAGCATCCGCTCCACTCTGGTCCGAGGTAGAGCGTACGTTGGTCGAATACGACGGAGGGCGCGCGCGTTCGATATTGCGCGGCTTGATGATTGGAGGTATGACCCCTAGCCAAGATGAGCGGATGCTCGTTCTCGCTCTCGTCGCTGATGCCCGCACAATACCATTCTCACGCATCAACTGCGGCGTTCTGAAAGACATTTCAAACGCTGGCGTGAGCAAGCCGCGCTTTGACTAGGGCTCCATCACTCTTTTCGGTGTTGTCATCACGTGAATCATGCAGTCTTGTCTGCTTTAGCGAGCAGCAAAAGACCTCTTTGGACTACTACGTCGCACCGGCTGATTTTCCCTTGAACTCGCCCAAGCAATCATCGTCATCGTCGTCTGATGGCCCATGCATGCACTGCCCCACCCCTCGAAAAGGGCAATCCCATCTCCCTTCTCAACGTACTCATGATTGCGAGCACGCCCAGGCAACGTTTCGCCAAACGCCACTCGCAAGTGGGCGTGGTTCGCGTGCCTGTCGTCTCTTATTGTCGCCATCTCTTACCGCTTTCACAAGGGAGCGGAAAAGAAGAAACGGTGCGACGTCGACTGGTGCGGGCCGGCCGCGATTACGAGGCTCGTTCAAAGTACGCAAGGTGATGGGGGGGGGGG